ATTAAATGCCGGGCTGTACAAAAATATTCCAACAATTATTTCAGAAGCCATATAGCATATATTGGAAAAGTTTTCACTGCCAACTTTGTTATTTAGTGCAAAGCCGTCAAATATATAGAATATATATATAAATATATAGAATTTTATACAAAAATAAATTTTATGGACATAAAAAATATTCGTAACAATTATCAGTATTATCAGTATTTATCAGTATTATGATGATATATATGTTTTTTTTTTTAAAAAGAGCTAAGATGAGTTACTATTTTAGGATATTTCTGCTTTGACAAATTGGTTAAGCTAGGTATAGTCGAGCTCGGAAATTGAGGATGTAAGCTGAATTCTTTAGTGGGATCATAATGGTGCTATTATAAAACTAACATAATGTGAATAATAAATATACTGTCACTTATGAAATACCAAAAGTGTAGCAGAAAAAAAAAATTAGCCAAAACCCTCATTAATATTATCTGGAGGAATAATGTTTAAACATAATATAATCAACGAGCCAAATTAACATATTTAGAGTTAAATTTACAGCGACTCAACAGTAATTCAAATAAAGTAATTAATTAAATGAATTTAAATTAATTAAATAAATTTAGATCAAATTGAGTGTCTAGTGTCTATTACAGCACGTGACTACGCAACCATTACCCTATTGGCTGATTTTAATGTCATGAAATATTAATTTGGTTCACTTATTGAACCATTTGCTTCTGTTGGCTTTGCCTGCTATAATATAAGTCCATTAAGGTATCAAGAATAATGAAAGAGCTTGATCTGTTGTCATGTGATTGATTGGTAACAATTATGGGTAACACTATTCTAGAATATGCAGCTTTTGTAATTTTTGAGACACAAAAGAGACATAGAAGACATTTCTAACTCTTTAAACAGATCTCTTGAATTAAAAGAGTTCAGTATAAGATAATTTAGAAATCTAACATAACTTAATGAAGTTAGACAATAGTAGTATTAATTTTAACGTAAGAAATTGGAAGAGATTAATACAATATTTAAGATATGCATTAGAATAGAAGAAATATATGAGTTTAAGTTAAAAATTAATATGAAATTAATATTATTTTTTTTATATAAACTAATTTTAACTAAAATGTTAATTTAAATTCTGACTGACGATCTTTTATAAAAAAGTCGTATTTGTTATTATAAATAAGATTGTATATATTGTATTGTATGTGCATATAATAACATATAATAATAAACTATAGGTCCTTTAAAAGTAACACCACAAATAGATAATTCTTATTGAGGAAGAGACTTCCAGGCTATATGTACCAGAAAAGGAAATAGCAGCGTATTATTATGTCAATGTCCAGCACTGGCTAGCAGGAGGATGACTGTCTTGGGACACCATTGGGTTGGTGATGATTTGGCAGTCAATCTCAAGCTAAATGAGCTGCTTGCAATAACAACAGATATAGTTATGCGAACGGATGTCACTTTAGTTTTAATTCAATAACGACATCCGAGAATCAAAAGACGAAAAAGGACCCAAGTTGTTTTGAGGTCTAATTTGGCTAATCCTTTACTTCGGTGGGACCGCCTGTTGGACGGTGCGCCGTCCCAACGTCCCACAATGTATACAAAAAAGCCTTTTATAAAAGACCTGATTATTTTTAATTACTCTATATTTAAGACATTGGTTTATATGTTAACAGTAAATTGCTATAAAATTGATTCAATTTGTTGATTTAATAAATAATCTTTCTTAAGCTTAGTTTAATACGTCACAAGTTTATTGAGAAAATTTTATACTATTATATAGTTTCGCATTTTATATGAAAGGTGTAAAATACAAAGTAAATAAATATAAAACTGTGATATGTGCAGAAAGTTCAATGTATTTCAGTTTTTCAATTTAGTAAAATAAAGAAGCAATAATTGTAATTAAAATTAAAACAAAAACTGAAAATAAAAACCATTCTTATTGTAGAATTCGAAAAATGTGTTATTGAGAAAGTTTATTGCAGTACTTAAAGTTCAATGGCACCCGCTGTTCGCATTTCAGTATTATAATTACATATTTTTAATGCGACTGCAGTCTGTAGTTTGTATTCCAAAGTACTTTGTTCTGCCAGTTGTGCAGAAATATTAAACGAACGTACGAGTAATTAATTTTATTATTTTATTTAAACTTTTTGATATGCGAGCAAATAATTGCGGGCTGATTTGTATTTATAAATTTAAAAGGAAATAACGTCATATTCAATACTATGAGTAATGTACGGTGTTAATTACAGAATTTTTTATGTATCTATAAGATAACATATGTAATAAAAAATAAATAAGACATGCATTGTTCCTCAATCTCCCATTCATTAAAGTAAATATGTGCATACATTTGTAGTTATTTAAATTAAAAGTGAATTATAAGTCCTTATCATGAATATGAAGTATTTTTCTACTGATATCTTATCTTGCTATCTTATAAAGGCGTTAAGTGTACACAAAACATGCTTTAGAACAAAACTCATATATGGATATAACCATTACTAATGTTTAGTTTCATTAATTTGATATGAATTAATATGGGCATTTAAAGTTAACTGACTATAATTAAATTTTTTTTGAAAAGAATTTATTTTTAATTTATTTTCAAACAGCATTTCTTATTATTATTTCCATATACATTTTATTTGATAATTTTCCATATACAAAATTGAATTTGCGGTAGTAAACACTTTGGAATGCAAATTGGCTACTTAACGTTTTGTATAATAAATTTGACGTCCATTATTTAAAACAAAAATATTAAAACAGATATATAAAAATATATACTTAAGGTATACACAAGGTATTGGAATACACCCTGTTTTTCGCCCGAATTGTACTAAAGGTAATAATTGCTTTTACTGTTAAAATTACTTTTTATTAATTTTTTTCATCGTCCGACTTTAAGTGTTTGTAAATATGGAGAAAAACGAGTATTGCTCTATGCTTGAATTTTTAATATAAAAAAATAATAAACACTTCCAAATTATAATCAATTTTCGTTTACCAATGAAGTTTGCGGGGATTGACCACTGTTATATGCAAGAGTATACGGCATAACACGCCATGTAGTGTCATGGGCTCATCAAAATTGGTTTCTTTTGGCCATCATGACAAAAATTCATGTTCTGCAGAGCGTCATAGAAATTGTAATATGTAATTTGTTTCTTAAAGATACAAATGTTGACATTTATTATTAAACAACAGTGCTTTGCCTAAGTGACAAGGCACAGGTAGCCTCGGCTCTCATGACCAAATTTGAACAGACATATTGTTTTTTTTTCTTAGTCTCCATTTTATAATTTGCATATAAAACTACAACAATTTTTCTCATGATACTCTACATAACATGGCCCTAAAGATGGTTGGATCGCTTTAAAAGAAACTTCATATCAAGAAAGTTATTGTTCAGCTTTTCCTAAACGCGAAAGCGGATATGTAGAATAACATAGCATAGCTTCTTTGTAAAAAGCACCAGAATGGTCGCTTTACATATAGTAAGTAAAACAATATGCATTACAAAATGTCTCTACAAAAAGAGTGGCTTTGAAAAAATAAACAATAGGCGAACCCAAAAGTTAACTTTCAATTCGTTGAACTTGTGTTTCCAAAATAAAGCTGTAGTTTATAAGTTCGTTCTAATTTAAAGCACGGCAAGTGCTTTGGTTGGTGTCACTAATTCAATAAAAAATAAGTGACAATAAAACCTGGAACTTGAGCATTGAAAGTTTCTGCAGCCTTGGCTTCTTGTTGACAAACACGATTAGTCATCGCTTCTAATTTGACAGGCACGAGTTCTTAGCCTGGCACTTGCAGTCCAAACAAATTATATACGGAATATAAACTAATTAAATAAAAATTCGATTATTCCAAAGACCACTGATGAAGAGTACTTGGCAATATTCGAAACAGCGTTGTCTGGTCAGCCAAACTTCAATAAAATTATAATAAATTTTTGTGTTTGTTCTTTATTTCTTTCTTTGCTATTCAAAATCCCTCTAATTTAATATTAATATATGTAGCAATATATGTTAGCAAGAACAGTGTTAAAAAAAATATATTATATAATATTACAAGCTGAACATACGTAGCTGGAACAATCAGGTGCACCTAATATGGCTTTCGGGACATGCCGGTATCTAAGGCAATGAAATGGCAGACAAACTTGCAAGAAGAGGCACAGCCTCAAGAATTATAGGCCCAGAACTATTCTGTGGTCTAGGCAAAGGAACTTTATCTATTCATGGTGCATAGGAAAATCGTCATATATTCGTATACATATATTTGAATTATTGTGCAGTACTAATATGCGGTACCTAACTTACACTATCTCTAAAAAACTAAGTTATTTATCCAATATTTATAAAATAAATAAACATTAAAAATACAGTTGTTTTGTATGGCTGCTAAATTTAACAGAACCAACTATCAATTGATTTTATCTATCTGACTTTATAAAATCATCTATGTAAATTCTCATTTGCTTAGTTTAAAACCAATTTATGTATTAACTGGCAATTCAATTCACTGAAGAGTAAATAGATTTATAGACAGATAGACAAATGAACAGATTATTGTTATTATCATAAGATAAATCGATAACAACATTGCATATATCAATACCTGCCTGAACTTGACGACCATAGTACTTATTAAAGTACCAGAGTTTCAGATTGCTTTCTCCAACTTTATGCTGGAGAGAAGGTAGAAAAGATTGTCACATTGACGGTATCCATCAAAGACGTTGAATGCTTTGGATAGATATTTTTACTTGACAACACTGTCAATCAATTTGCATATGTTACACGTCCTTTTTATCTAATTATGTGTATATAAATTATATAATATCTAACGTGTAAAAATTAAAAATTTTTTAAATATGCTAATTAATAATATGTTACACTATATACATTAACAATATTGCTTATTAGCTAACAATTGTTGCAAATTAACGAAATTTATTACAAATTTCATTACAGCACTCCAAAAATGTTTAAAATGAAGCGAACTCCAGTCCACATAAATAGACTTCTACTTTTAGGTTGCGCATATCTAATCTTTCTTTTGCCATTGACTTTAGCACGAATACCAAATTGTGAGTTCCACGATACTGTCAATATAACTGGTAGTTTACGCTACAACAACGGTTCCTATTTGCATGATGGTGTGATAATACCACCTAAACTCATCGGCGAATATGATTATGAGGTGCTCTATGACGGTCTTGAATTGACTGTGGGGAAACATGTACGCGGTTGTATCTGTAAACTAAAACCTTGCGTTAAATTGTGTTGTCGCCCAAAACAAATTAAAAAAGAAAACTTAAGAGAATGTGAAATTGATGCTAAAACAGAACTTGAACTGTCACCTTACGTGAATATAACTTTCAGCAATGGTACGGAGCAGAGCATACATGTATTAGAGGAATTTTATGTTCAGCATGGAATACCCTGTTATGACGCTTACAAGTTGACACCAGATAGCGAGGAGGACGATGAATGGAAACTCTTCGAGGTAAAAAATATATAATATTTAATAAATGGTATAAAACAATTTATAATTTTAAAAAAGAATGGCACATTGATGCGTTTGTTTGACAATGCCTTAATGACAAAACGTGATTATTGCTTAACACCACATGAAGTAAGTGGTGTATATTTGCTTACTCCAATGAATTGTCCAAACTATGAAGAGCAGTCAAATAATCACTTCGCTAACAATCTTGGTATATATAAATGAATTTGAAACTAATAACCTCTTAAGGCTTTACTATTGGTACTCATATATTAAAAAAAAAATACTTATTCTTATTAATTACAGCAATGTTAATATCTATACCCTTTTTGGTGTTGACAATCTTTGTGTATGTCTTCATACCGAAATTGAGGAATTTGCATGGAAAATGCCTTATTTGCTACTTATTTTCTTTAACGGTTGGTTATAGTGTCCTGGTAACCAATAACTATTTCAGCAAACAATATAATGATTTCACTTGCAGTTTTGTAGGTGAGAAAATCAATTATCATTGCTTAATATAAAAGCTAATACAAATATATTCTATATATAAATAAACTTTTAATATAATTACAATATTAATTAACAGGATTCATGGCTTATTTCTTTTTTATCGCGGCATTTTTATGGTTAAGTGTGATAAGTTTTGATCTCTGGCATAATTTCCGAGGCACCAGTTGCAATGTTAACCGTTATATGCAAAACAAACGTTTTGTTATTTATTCTCTCTATGCATGGGGAATTGCTGGGATTCTCACTTTCGCAACCATACAGGGTCAACTATCAAGTATCGATAATCATATTAAACCCGGAATTGGCGACGAATATTGTTGGCTTAAAAGTAAGTAAAATTAAGTAAATTATTATATATGTTACATATATCTTTTTTTTTTGTATTTATAGCCGATGATTGGTCAGCTATGATATATTTCTATGGGCCGATAATGTTACTAATTTTATTTAATGTGATTATGTTTATACTGACTGCTACAAAAATTTATCAAGTTAAAAGGGACTTGGAGCGTATTGTGGCTCGTGAAAATGATCAGAGGTGTTTGCGGTCAGAGAAAGAAAAGTATGTTCCTTAAGGAAATTAATTTAAAGTGGACATTAATTATATTAAGTCAGGGTGATTTTAAAAAATGTAGAAATATTTGAAACTGCAGTAAGAAATCAAATGAAAATTATTTACACTTTTGTTGAGTGGTAAAAGTGGTGCTATACATTTTAGTACATACATATGGTCACATAGTCAGTTAAATAAAGTTTTTATTTAACTGAATGTAATTTTGGTCGATTTTCTGACTGTTGCGTTTAAGACATTAAATCAAATTAAAAGTTTAAAATTTTTTTTTGTATTAGCTAGTAATTTAAAAACTGATAACATATTATGATTTGTCCAAAATTCGAATGGTTTTTGGTGTCATAATGGAGTTCACTGATTTTTATTATACTATTAGAATCACAGCATAAGTTTACTGACATTTTCCCTACATTTTAATAACGCATAGTAATGTTATTAATGTTAAGAGATGTTCTGATGGTTATTGGTGACTTTAATGCCAAGATAGGCTAAGGTACGGACGATGCAATTGTTGGCAAATTTGACCTAGGCGAAAGAAATGAAAGAGGTGATCGTTTACTGGATTCTGCAGAAGTAATAAGTTAATTATTTCCAATACATTCTTTAAACTGCCAAAACGTAGACTTTATACCTGGAAGTCACCAGCCGATACATCAAACAGGGTCATCCGTAACCAAATCGACTTTATAACAATAAGTGAAAGATATAAGAACTCAATAAAATTCGCAAAAACCTTCCTCGGTGCGGATGTTCCATCTGATCTCAACTTGCTAGCTGTTAAAATCAACATTAAATTCAAAGCGACAAGCTCAGCTCAACAGAGGAGTAAACTCAATGTAAAAAATTAAAAAGCCCAGATTTGAGGATGCGAGTCGAATATGAAATTGAAATGAGGTTATTAAGTTTACAACCCGCTTGAAGAAATATCTATGACAAATAAAAACACAATAATGAAAGTAGCAAATAATGAAGTGGGCGTGGTCATATCTAGAAGAAAAGAAAATGAATGACAGATGAAATCCTGGCATTAATGGAAGAAAGAAGTCAGTATAAAAATAAAAATACTCGCAAATATAAGTATATACGTGTTCTTATTAGAAAAGCAAAAGGAGAGTTTCACAAAAAGGAATGTGAGGAGATAGAGGGGTATCAAAGGAGAACGATGTATTTAACTTACTCAAGAAAATTAGAAATATGACGACATGTAATAGAAGAAAGAGAAGGCCACTTATGAATAACGAAAGTAAATACATAACAGAAAAAGGCGAAACACCTCGCATGTGAAAAAACTATATTCAAAATCTATTTACGAACAACCGATCAACCGATCAACCGTGACTACCGATCGAAGAGCTGTTTCAGGTCCACATATAACCTTAGATAAAGTTCAAAAAGCAATTGATGGTGCAAAAATAAGAAAAACGGTAGGTTTTGACCAAATACCAAGAGAATTGGTGAAGTTATTTAAAGATAATGGCGTACATATTTAACAAGATTTTTTAATAAAATTTATAATACTGGCCAGATACCAAACTATTGGATTCAAGAACGTTGTCGTGACTTTAACAGAGATGTCTTTTTATGTTATTGATTTTGAAAAAGCTTTCGACAAAGTCGAATACGGCAAACTCATAGAAATTCTGAAGCATTGCTGATTAGATGAAAAGGATATCCGAATAATCGCAAACTTATATTGGAAACAGTACGCAAATGTTTCAATTGATAATTTCTTCACGCAAGAAGTAAAAATAAAGCGCGGGGTTCGCCAAGGGTGCATTCTGTCACCATTACTGTTCAATATATACTCGATATATATACTACAATATTTGTGAAATGTATATTCTAGTCAATAATAACTAACTTGATTTTAAATGTATTTTAAATATTAGAAATGTTTTTACGTTTATACTTCCTACAGATTAATTCATACTATTTTTCTAAGTTATTCATCTCTTAAAAGATGTAAAGCAAAAGTCAGTCCGCGATTATTCTAATTCAAATGAGAAACTTAATTTTAAAATATTACGCAAATCAAAATACTGATAGTTTAATCTATTCTTTGTTACATTATTTTTTAGAAATATTTTTAAATGATTGAGATAGTGTTTTTTAAATAATATTTAAAAAATTTAATCCAAAACAAACCACTTGAAGTATTTTTTTTT